TCGGGTAAACTGCGGGCAATGATGGCTCACATATCGCACATTTCCGACAGATTTATACAAAGTTTGTCTCAACATGAAGTATCAGGTACAATTTATTATTTATCCGTTAGCTTAATATAAACTTTAAATGTTCATTTGTTTATTTTGTGATATACTGTCATTTATACCATAATATCCATCAATAATATATTTTATCCATTATGATATAATGATACAGTATTATTATTGTATAAACCGTAACAAAACATGTAAATTAATATAAACTAAATTAAATGTTTGGCGTTTAATAATTGGGATTTAATAGAAACGATTATAATGTTTTTATTATCAAGTTAAAAATATTTAATGAATACATTAAATTTTAAAATATCTAATTTGTTAATGATATAAATTTAGCATCATGAATAATAATTCTATTAAGAATGTGATTTCAGTTTATTAATGAAGCAGTAATAAAATATTTTAAATAATATAATCATTTTAATCATGTTCTCAGTAAATAATTATTTTGGCATAGAACACCGATGGTGATTTAATATCTTAAATTCAATGTATAAAAAATAACCTAAATAATATTTAATTATAAAAATATTTTGCAACTAGGTGAAGCCATAGACATACGCCAACACGTGGGCGCGTTCGCCATGGATGTGATCTCCAGGTGCGGGTACGGCATAGACGTGGAGTCCATCAAAAACCCTAACCATCCGGTGGTACTCAACGCCCGCAAGATATTGAGTGTCGACTTAGGCCTGGCATTCATCGTATCGTTTTTGTTCCCCGGGTTGGCCCGACTACTGGGTGTCGAGCCTTTTGATATGAGCGCCTGTAGTTATTTCGACGACTTGACCAAAAAGATTATCGATGAACGCAAACTACATAATAAACAGTCGACTAGTGATAAATGTAAGTGACTTTAAGTTTTTGAATTGTTATAGAAACCAGGACGTTTTATTATAAATTAAAAACTAATTTATAAAATAGAATTTAAAATAAAATGTTAACTTAATAATAGTTATAGTATCCCCTAGTTTTCTTACTTCAATATTATAAGTAATAAGTTTTAATTATATATTAAATATATTATTAGAAAACTATTACAGTTTTAAAACATAAAATACATTATACAGTAATATAATATAGAGAAGAGTATTAGAGTATTATATATTATATTATAGAATGCACACTATATTATAGAGAATTATATCAAGCAACCTAAAAATACAAAAGTAAACTATGTTACATTAATTTACATGTGTGTGTGTGAGAGAGAGAGAGGGAGAGAGAGAGGGAGAGAGAATTTTTATTAAAATTTATTTTATTTATAGCCAAACGTCACACA